CTTGAAAAACATTGCTGCCGTATTTCTGATATAGTTTTTTGGAAATTTCTCAGTTTTTAATAACAATTAATTTCTTTTACTATTTTTTCTGTACTCGTATAACAGCGCCAGACAACACCTCGAGAGGAATGACGCCAATTTTGAATCACCCTGCATATTACTACAAAACAGTAATGATGTTTACCATTTTATGTTAAATATGAAATAATACAAAATAGATATCCAAATATTGATTATTTGCTGTTACAAAATAAAATAACAAATAATAGAACATATTATTGCATTAAAAGTTATTAATAATAGTTGTCACTTTATTTGCACTTAATCTTGAGCGTTTTTCATAAATTGACCCTGGCTTCTTTAAAAATTTTCCGCTCAACATCTAGTTTAACAATTGTCTCCGATGAAAATCACTCAACAAGTAGGTAGTAATATTTTACGAGATCGGAACTTTGAATCGTGCAATACAATGCAAATGGATATCATCAGGGCAGCATCTGTACTACAGTCGGAGAGTAGAGTAGACGACATAGGGATTCGGTACCGGGATTCTATCGATACGATTTAATTTAATTTAATCTTTTCTTGTTACGAGTTTGCGTCCGCAATCAATTAGGCGATTTAAAATAGGTCCAACAGTTTTTCAAAAACTTTATTGTAGTGGATCTTAAACACAATTTTGTGTGTCGAATCATCGGTACACAGCAACGGGCAATCTTATTTGCAATGATAAATACCCGGTCGTTTGAACATGATTTTCGAAAGTTTGTAATACATGTTTCTGCAAATTTATGGACGACTCGCATTTTCTTGCACTTAAACTGCTTTAGTATGTATAATTGTGTGTGTACTTTAATTGGAAATTAAAGAGAACGCGAAACTCGAACATGCATATAGTACATAAGCACCCTTACTTAGTATTTGCAGTATCTGCAGCTGCTCCCTTGTTAATTTGTTGATTTATTGTTATCAGCGATATAAAATAAACTGCACCGAACATAATAATATCACACTCAATAATTGATATATCAAAATTACTAAGTCAGTTTAATAACGCAATATGTATTTGAAAAGTTTATCAGATCTACAGATGCACCCGCACTAAGAGAAAAATGTCGAATTCAAAGTGCATATGTGCGTCCCAACCCTCAGGCGCGAAGAAGCCGGAGTGGGAGCCGCCGTTACGTCTCGCCGTGACCGAGAAAAATCGGTTCACCCTCCCATAAAAAGTTATCACTCCAAAAAACTGAATAGAACAAATCGAACTTTTAACTCATTCGAAGACGGAAAATTTACTCCGTTTCTAACTTGTTTGTAACATTTTTTGTCAATGTCAACAATGTAATTCAGGTTCAAAAACGGCATTTTTTTATTATTTCAAATAAAGTGCTAGGAATCAGATAAACTACAATGCGAGTATCATTTTAATATCGTGAGCCAAAAGCGGCAGAAATCTTATCAATTACCAGAAAAATATAACTCTCAGAAAAACAAAAAACATATAAAACACATTTATTATTTCTATCTTCTATTTCTCGCGCACAGACTCACACCGAATTCTATTTCCGAACGCGCTCTTATATTATCAATGTCGTGTCAACAGGCTTGCCAGGTCTACCGTTTTCAGGGTGGGTTTTTTTTTTTTTTTGGTTTGCCCGGCGGCTGGAGGAATAAAAATCTTGGCGAAGACACCCAGTGTTCCGAACCCTGGGTAGTGTTGGATTCTCACCAACTAAAAAAACCCCTTTTAATTACATCTTATTAATTTACGTTTTTTTTTTTTTTTTTT